AAACATTCAATATTCCTCGAACGTTTCGTTACGGTACGGGAAGTTCCAGCAATTTGCCTTAAGGCACGATGCCACCCACCCCACTAGTTTTGTATTAAAATCTAGTACTCTAAATTACTCGTGATACAAAATCATACAAAACATGCATTCATATATTTATTTTAAAATAACTTGACTAATTGAAAATTTTGAGTAATTTTTCTATATATTGTAATTGATTATAATATCAAATCCGACAAACGTATATGATTAATTACAAGAATCAACAAATTCATATTTTTAGCAAGTGTAAAAAATTTAAGGTTGTTATTTATATTTTTTCGTGATTTTATATTGGACTTGACAAATGGGGTGTAGTTTCAATTGTTAAGTGTTTTGTGACATTTTTATACAAATAATTATTTGTGAATTAATGAATAATAGTTTCTTTAATCTTTGTTTCTTTGTTTTCTTTTTAACTTTTTAAAAAGACGTAAAGAAAACGTAAAAAAAATGTTTACGTCAAAATCAGGAAATGATTTTGTACCTTGTTTATATGTGATTCACAATGGCCTAGTTAAATCTAATATGATTATAAAAGCGCATACTAAATATATAAGTATTGAAGATTATGCATTTTGTTTTAAAGTATAATTTTTTTTGATATAATATAACTAAACATTTATTATGCCTACCAGAAATAGTATTAAACCTATAACATAATATCGAATAAGGTTATTGAAGTCGTATCTCATAAAAAATAATGTTATATTATTTAGAGAAAAAATAAAAATAAATATTATATTGAATCTTTGTTTAGTTGCCTTATGACTACCAATTAGTAAAATTTTAATTTTTATATTTAAAATAGGTACTTTTACATTTTTCAAAAATTTAAGTATCATATTTTTGCCATAAAAAGCTTGCAACTGAGTCAAAATTAATAACAAAAATTTACTTTTTAATTAATTCTATTTCACAAAGTCGCGCAACCTTACTTAGGCAGATAGTTTCATCCAATGGTACCAACCAAATATTTAACAAAATATAGCCAGTGTACGTCTTAGGCAATGGTACGACTTGAGCAACCTTACTCTATATAATACTATATAATATATTCCGAATCAATAATTTGATAATCCTTTGATTCAGAAAGACAGTTGATTTTGAAAACGGTAATATGGATATTCTCAAAACCAAAAACTAGAAATTATTTGTTCAACAATTTTATATTAAAAATTCATCCTTGTAGCAAAAAAATGAAACCATAACAACTCTTATTACACTTGTTATTTGAATTTTACCCAGTTCTAAACTAAGTGAATTTGAACATATTTGAACTTTTTATTTTTGAATTATCGACCAATTAATGCTATAAATATTCGATTCATAAAATAAAAACAATCATAAATCCGTTAAGTTAAACATAACTTAACACATTTATGATTGTTTCTACCAAATTTTCATAAAATTCCATAACTGTATTCTGTATCATCTTATCTTATCTCACCTAGTCCTCGCATCCCTCCTCGCCGCGCTGATGTCCAGATCGCTAAGGGCGGTTTCGGCGGTCGCATCAATCGGTGTCCGATGGTGAATGCCGCCGCCGACACCGGTTACCGCCGTGTAGTGACCGCCGCCGCCGCCGGGTGACGTGACAAGACTGTCACGGGACGATGACAAGTAACGTTGAGAACAGTGACTATTCGAAGCTGTCGTGCCACGGCGCGTGCTCAGGCGGCAAGACATTAGATCTGGAAAATTTGAAAATATGGAAATATATTATATGATGGACTTGAGTTTTTTAACTTCCCGTAGGGTGTTATTGTAATGGGCCGGAAATCGAAATTGAAAATTTTTACATTTCTCGACGTTTTGAAGGTTTCTGATCATTTTGGCATACTTAGGAAAAAATGGATGTGTGTGTGTGTGTATGTATGTATGAATACTATTTTTCGTCCACGTTTTCGGGCGCACGGATCAACCTATTTGAATGGTTTAAAAAACATTTGATTCCTATTGATAGGGAGATGTGCTGATTAGTTTTTGGCAAAGGCAGGTCCAGCCGTTACGGAGATACATAGCAAAGAGTGCAGAAAAGAGAATTCGAGTTTTTGACTGAACGTAGCATCCGATTTCAATGATCTAAAAAACATTCAATTAGTAATGATTGGGATTATTAGTTTTTGGCAATGGCAGGCCCAGCCATTTCGAAGATACAGAGCTAAATGTGCAAAAAATGGCAGTTTTTGAGAGAACTAAGCGTTTTAACAAAATAATTGATTTTGGAAAAAAAAAATTGTACCATTTTTTTTTTTAGTTTTTTTGTATATCGAAAATAATTCAGATTTTTTTTTAATTCTGACTATAGTTCTAATATACTTCAAACAAATAATTTCAACTTTGCAATTTAGTTTAAATAATTCTTATAGATATTAGACAATGTTACAATATTAATAATAATCTATTTAAAAACATTCAGTATTCCTTGAACATTTCGTTACGATACGGGAAGTTCCAGCAATTTGCCTTAATGCACCATGCCATACACCCCACTAGTTTTTTTTTGTATATCAAAAATAATTCAGATTTTAATCGCAATTCTGACTAAAGTTCTAATGTACTTTAAACAAATATGTTTAAGTTTGCAATTCAGTTTATATAATTCTTATAAATATTAGACAATATTACAATATTTATAATAATCTATTTTAAAACATTTAATATTCCTCGATCATCTCGTTGCGGTACGGGAAGTTCCAGCAATTTGCCTTAATGCACGATGCCATACACCCCACTAGTTATATATTAAATCACATTAGAAATTCCTTGTGACTACCTTCATTGGGAATCCAGAGGCTAAGATATATAAACAATTATTTTGTTTATTGCAAAAAAATCACACCTGCCATTTGCAAAAACCAAAACCTGGGGCTAGTTGTAACACACACAAATTATGTATAGACTCAAGTAAAGTAGATTGAATAAAATATGTCGTTTGTAAGATGTGAGCACATGTAAATTATGTTACAGGATATCACTATATTACTATTGTCAATATGTATTATGATTATAATTGTAAATTACGTCGATTTATGCTAAGAATTTCTATTACAGTTATTTTTATTACGTTGATTTTTAGAAAGAATTACTCAGAAATAAGTCAAAATTATCAGAGCTATTTGTCGTTTGTTATCTTTACTACTTGATTTGGTAGTTTCAATCTAGCTATAAACACGGAGAAGTAGTGACACCACTCTTTTTTAACTTCCCGAAGGAGAAGTTTATGTTTTCATCAAAAAATCCGATTCGCTAATTTTATGATTTCTCAACGTTTCAAGCCATTCTGAATCGAATGAGACCAAAAAAAGTATGTGTGTGTGTGTATGTGAACAGATTTTTTGCTGTAAATCCACGTTTTCTCAAAAACGGCTGGAACGATTTCAAAAATTTAAAAGCCATTTATCTCGATGAGGACTATCGTTTGTCAATTTCGCGATACGATCGACCGAGCCGTTTTTTTGTAAATCGAAGAAAGGTGAAAAAGTTTTCGTTCACATTTTAGCCCGCAGTTCTGAATCGATTATGAAAATTCAAAAACCGTTCGAAAGATATTGGTTGGGAATCGTGCTGATTAGTTTTTGGTAGAGATCGGCCGGGCCGTTTTCTTGTAATAGAGTGTTAAAAAATTTTTTTTCGACAATTTCTATTATTATTTTTTTGACGATAGATACTATAGTTTTCTAGATCATACTAAAAATTTACGGCCCTACGACAACTCGTTTAACTTTAAAAATTCGTCAAAGTTTGCAAAAATTGGTTTCGTTTTTTTGGCATTTGTCAAAATTAGACTTTTGATCGACGTTTTCTCAAAAACGCCTGAACAGATTTCCGAAATTTAAAAGCCATTTGATGTATCTCAATAAGGACTATCATTTACCAGTTTTGTGATACGATCTGCCCAGCCGTTTCTTTGTAATTTGAAAAAAAGTGTTAAATTTTTCGTCCACATTTAACCTCAAACTAATAAACCGATTTTAAAAAATCAAAAACTGTTCGAAAGATGTTAGTTGGGAATGATACTGATTAGTTTTAGGTAAAAATCTACCAAGCCTACTTGTAATTCGTTGTTGAAAAAAAATTTGAGCCGATTTTCATGAAACTTTTTTTGATGATATATATCATGGTCTTATACAACTTATTGAAATATAACGGCCTTATGACAAGTAGTTCAATTTTAAAAAATCATCAAAGTTTGTTAAAATGAGTGGTTTTTTGACGTTTGTTAAAATTAAAATTAGACGATTTACTTGGTATAACGATAAGTACTTGGTCTTAATGAACATACTAAACGTATTACATATTAAAGAACATAATAAAGTCCTACGAGAACTGGTTCAATTATAAAAAAGTAGATTTTGTGAATTTGCTTTTAGAAAATACTCAGAGTTAACGTGTTCGTTTGCTTTCAATTATGTGTAATAAATCCACTCGGAATACTTTTAATCACTCATAACTTAATTTATTTTTATTGATTAAGTCGATTAGTTACATATATCGGGTGGTCATGTAACTTGCCTCAAGGCAAAATACCAATACCAACTAGTTTTTTATATAAATTACATTCTGTCTACTTAGAAAGTCATTGAGTTATTAATTTGACAAATAACATAGGATTTCAAAAGGAAAACCCAGTGGTTCAACTTTTATTAATGTACTAAATTATGACTTAATTAAATTTTGGTATATGTAGCCACATAATCACTACAATATATCCAAAAGATATTCAAAACCTTTTAGGACTGTATTTATTTGTTTATTTTCTTCAAAAATCCAAATGTAAATAAACAATGACAGGTTGTCTGTAATTTTGCCAACACTAGCGCTATCAATTGCTTAATACCCAAAACTATTTATTGATAAGATAACAACCAAAGATAAATTATTTTATCATAGATAACAATCTTTGACATAAATATAAGATTTGAATTTGAATAATATTAGTAACGGCATAAACGAATATGACCGGTAACGATTTATATTGTTTTGGCGCCTTTTTGCCCCTATAAAAGCTGGCACAAACACCCTGTTAGGTCTTTTTGTGCTGGGACTTCGTGGTGAAACTACAGTGAAAGGTAAGTCTTTATATAATTAATATATAGTAAGTATCTAATAATTTATTATTCTAAACTTTTAGTGTTTGCTTGTGTTTTGATTTATTTAATTTTATTTAGTGAATTATAAATAAAACAAATTGGAAACTGTTCATTATTTTATATAAATCGATTTATGTTATTTTTTATATTTCAGAGTAATTTTTGTCGAAGAGTTGGTGTAATGGTTTTGAATAACTCTTCGGCCAAAATTATATTAAATATAGAAATTAATGTAAATCCATTAATATAAATAAAAAACGTTTTTCAAACTTTAATTATAATTCAATAAAAATAATTAAATCAAAGTGCAAGTACATATATATAGATATATGTATGTGCATATGCATTTAATGTATATTGTATATATTTTATATTACATAAGTATAATAATTCCAACTGAAGAATTTAGAATGAATTTTGACATAAAATTCAATTTTATGTATTTATTTATTTATTCATTTATTAATTTTACAAGCCATCGGTATGATAATATTATAATAAGGCTTAAGTCAATATTTTATAGGTTTAATATAATTTAATTAATTATTGGCTATTTTATTACTTATTTATTTATTATTTAATTTATTTACTATAAACTTATTTATATTTAGTTAATTATAATTATTTTTAAATATAACTAGTTTGTTTGCAAATATTTTTAAAAATTTATTAAGTATTTTAATAAGCTTTATAATACTTTTACAATATAATTATATTATTTAACAAATTTTAGGTTATTTTATGATATTTTAACAAATTTAAGTGTCTTATATTATTGTAATTATTATTACTATTATCATTAATAACACTATCATTTATCATTTTCACTATTATTGTTAAATATTTTTACAAAATTTTTTTTTCTTTTACAAATTTTTAGGTATTTTGATGAAGGAAATATTTTGTTTCACAATTTTTTTAGTGTTTTTTAAATTATAAGTTTTTAATTAACTATATATTTAACTAATAGTTTATTGAATATACATTTTGATTTAAATATTGAACTATTAAATAAAAAATAGAAGTAAGAACATATGCAGTATACGTATAATTTTATTAAATATTATAATATTAAACTATGAATTTTGCATGATAATTGTACAAAATAATAATTTTAATTGAAAATGGCTAAATTTACCTACAAAGTCAATCATAATAAAAATAGAATTAGAATAAAAACTAATTACAAACATTAAAATTATATCTGAACTTATGTTGGAATTATTTGCAATTGACTTGTTATAA